AGCGATGCAGGTCGCATCATGTCGCCCTTGCCGTCCGTCCTGCCTATTTCTCCGGTCGACCCGCTTGCCGTCGCCGTGAGACTCGTGCGCAGGTCTTTCTGGCTACGACCAGCTGGCTGTTGCATCGGGCTGGCCCGCCCTGGTTCGCCAGGCCTGGACTTCGCTCACAGGTGGACCGGCAAAGGCCAGGCCTCACCGAGCCAGGCCACCGCAGCAGGCTTGGGCCGTGGACCTGCGCAGCCTGCGCACAGTGCGTGACGAGTGGCTTCCACGCCGGCCGGCGCCGCGCCTCGCCGGCGTGGAGCGCCGTCCCATCGGAGGGATTACACTGCAGGGTCGCCGCGGCGCTTCCACGGGACCGCCGCACAGGTGCATCACCGTGCCGGTGTGCCGTGCGTGTGTTTGCACGCGTGGGGCGCTCCAGAGAAAGGGCCTATCCCTTCGAGGGCCGAAGGGGTGGCCAGCTCTTCCGCAGCCGGAGGGTCGGCGGAGGGTGGGCGGCGGAAGCCGGCGGAAGCTCGGCGGGACTGGCGTCCGCCGGTCGTCCGCCCTGCGTGCCTCTGCGGGGTCTTACATCGTTCGTAGTGAGTGATGGCGCCGAGACATCGGTAGGCACCACCAGCTGACCCCACACGAAGCCTCCAGAGCCATTGGCCAAGGGGGGCCGTGATGGCAAAGAGAAAGCTCGGCGGGAGGCGGCGGAAGTGCAAGATGCGCCCCCAAGAGATGAACACGTTTTTGGGTTCAGGGTTTGCGAAATCGCCCACACGAATGTCCTCATTCGCAGGGCGTGGACGCAGAACACGCACACGCACACCGCTTGAGACACTGACGCATAGCGACCGTGCACATCCCAGGAGTAATGCACCAGAGTGGTACGTCGACAGCCCCATCACGTCTCGTATCCCGTGTCCCCTCTACATGGCGTCGCCATCCTGGACCGTCTTTGTTTCTTTCTCTTTCTCTCTTTTGTATGAGTTTCTCAATCTATGTTTGAATTTCGCTCTCTCTTCTTCTCTCTCTCTCTCTCTTTCTGCCTCTCCGCACTTGCGCGCCATTCTCCCGCATGGCATCTTTATTGTTTTTCTCCCACCCCACGTTTCGCTATCCATGTTTGCATGCCCTCTCTCATCACTCCTCTTTCCTATCCCCACTGCTTGTGTCTCTAGCCAAGCCCTCTCTGTGCGTCTCTCTCTCCCTCTCTCCCTCTCTCTCTCTGTCTTTGACTGGTCCAGCCCTGAGGTCGTTCCTCTGCACGCGCGCGCCCGTGTCGCTTCGTGGACGTGCCGCTCGACCTATCGCTTCCCGTGGCCCTCTCGCCCTCTGCTGCCCGTCTCCCGCAAAAGGGGGACTCCCCGAAGAACGTGGTCAGGCGCCCGACGCTCAACAGGGAGCGGCGCGCGCCGCCGCGCCGCCGCGCCGTTCGGTCCTGGCTGCGCGCTCCCTCTCTGCCGCCGCTCGGCGCCTCGCTGCCGGGCTTGCCGCTGCCGCTGCCCTCGTGCTCCCGGGGCGCTCCCTTCTCTGCCCTCTGCCCTCTTCCCCTGCACTCTGCTCCGTCTTCTCTTCTTCTTCTTCCTCCCCTGCTCCTCCCCGGCTTCCCCTTCTGGGGGGGCAGCCCTTCCCTGCGAAGGAGGAGGGGGAGGAGGAGGAGGAGGAGGAGGAGGAGGAGGAGGAAGAGTAAGAGCTGTCGGCGTGCTTTCCTCGGCGCGTCCCGCGTCCCGCGTCCCTTCCTCTTTCCCTTCTCCCTCCTCCTTCCTTCCTCCTCTCCTCCACTTTCCTCCTCCTCCTGTTCCTCCTCCGCCTCCCTTTTCCTGCCCCCATCACCCTCCTAATCCTCCTCATCTTTCACACCCTGCACCCTAGGGCAGTAACAGGACCATGTGGACGCAAGGATCGATGAAGGGAACGCGGGAAGGAGGAGGAGGAGGAGGAGGAGGAGGAGGAGGAGGAGGAGGAGGAGGAGGAGGGGGAGGGGGAGGAGGAGGAGGAGGAGGAGGAGGAGGAGGGGAGGAGGAGGAGGAGGAGGAGGAGGAGGAGGAGGAGAGGAGGAGGAGGAGGAGGGGGAGGGGGAGGGGGAGGAGGAGGAGGGAGGAGGAGGAGGAGGAGGAGGAGGAGGAGGAGGAGGAGGAGGAGGAGGAGGAGGAGGAGGAGGGGGAGGGGGAGGGGGGGGGAGGGGAGGGGGAGGGGGAGGGGGAGGGGGAGGGGAGGGGAGGAGGAGGAGGAGGAGGAGGAGGAGGAGGAGGAGGAGGAAGAGGAGGAGGGGAACATGTCAAAACATTGCTCCCATGATTTCAACGCCACAGGTCAACCTGACTGTTACGTCTTGACGATCCCGAATCGTGCCAGGACGCCTTTCCTGGAACTTGAACGCCGCGAATCAACATAACCTGTGCACCCGATTCTGGCACGGTGACCATGGGAACCCGCGAGGCTCTTGCAATTTGTATAACACGAATGCGCGCGGCGCTAAGGCGAGAGCCACATTTTTGTGAAAGGAACCACCCTCAATCCGCGAAGGTCTTCCAATTTGTTTATCGAATGTGCGCGGCGCTAGAGCGAGAGCCACAGTTTGAATACCACTCGCCGTCAATCCGTGATATTCCTGCCAAGTTTTAAAACGATTGTGCTCGGCGCTTAGGCGAGAGCCACATTTTGAAAACCACTCGCCCCCAATCCGTGCAACTTTTGCAGATTTGTCAAAGCGAATGTGCGCGGCGCTGAGGCGAGAACCACATGTTGAAAAGGAACCGCCCTCAACCCGTGAAGCTCTTGCAATGTGTTAAGACAAATTTGCGCGGCGCTAAAGCGAGAACCACATTTAAAAAACAACTCTCCCTCAAGCCGTGAAGCTGTTGCAAATATTTAATACGAATGTGCACGGCGCTAATGCGATAACCACATATTGAAAACGGCGCGCCCTCAACCCGTGAAACTCTTACGTTTTCCAGATGAATGCGCGCGGCGCTAAGGCGAGAACCACATTTTGAAAACGACCCGCCCTCCATTTGCGAAACTGACAGCTTCAGAGTCAGAAGTGGTGAGGACGTCCCAGGCGCAACGAAACTCCCGGCCCGCCCTAAAAGCTGGCCTCGGGGGGCGACAGGGAGATACATTATTTATAAGGAGAAGGATCGGAGGAGGATGAGGAGGAGCAGAAAAAGGGGGGAGAAAAGCCATGCGGGACGAGGGGGGACCTTTCCATCCTCCATCCTTTCTCTGATATTCCTCCCCCTGGTCTTCCTATCCCTTATGGTTCCTCCTTCTTCGCACGTCTCCATTCCTCATGGGGGGGAGGAAGAGGAAGGGAGGGAAGTGAACGACGGGACAGAAGGCGTATCCCAAACCCTCGGTACCCGCCCTCTTCGTCTTCGGTGGTACCTGGGAAATGCCAGAGCGAGAGCGTGATTCCTGAGCGTCGAGGACGCAGCGTTTGAATTGATTGCGAGGAAGTCCCCACGCGAGAGCGCGATTCCTGCATAACTTGTAAGAGAGCGCGGTTTTGAAATAATATGTGAGGAAATTTCAGTCGGGAACCGTTGCTGTTGTAGTTTGGGGTCCACCAACTTAGTTTGGTGTCACCCAGCTTTCCCTTGTAAAGAACAGGGTGCGAGCCCCGGAAGGAGCAATTCAATGGAACAAACACAATGGTTACCGGGGAGGGGGGATCAACCACAGTCATTCTTTAGAAGTGAAAATGCAACACCAACAACAACACCAAAAACAACAGCAGCAGCAACAACAATAATACCAACAAGTTTAAGACTGTGCGTTCTCATCTGCTCGCGTGCAATCCAACACGTGTATCCCGAACCCTCGATACCCGCCCTCTGCTTTCTAGATCGTACCACCTTTAGGGGTCTATCTTTCTTACCTGCAACATGTATTTCGCGTAGCCCCTGAGGCAAGGGAAGAGAGGACAGATGGAAGGAAAGGACAAGTGGGAGGGAGGAGGATGGAGCATGGGAGAGAGTAGCAGGAGAGGGGGCTAGGAGCAGAAAACACGTGGCAGAACCAGATGGGCAGATCGGGCGGGCAGACCTTATCGAGCGAGGGAAGGCGGGTCCAGGCGGCCAGGTCGAGCAGGCGGGTTGCTGAAGCGAGCGTCCTGCTTGAATCGCGAGGAAGTCTCGAGCGACAGCGCGATTCCCAAGTAAATCGTGACGAAATCCGCAGCGAGAGCGTCATTCTTGAGTGTCGGGGGCGCGGCGTCTGAATACATTGGGAGGTCGCCCTTCGTGAGAGCGCGATTCCTGCATAAAGTCTGAGGAGGTCCCGCCAGAGATCGCGATTTTGGGAAAACTTTCAGACGGGGGGAACTGTTGTTGAAAACGGGGGGCCGACAACCGATGTTGGTGTCACCCAGGATCCCTTTGCGAAACAGGGTGCGCGCCCAGGGAAGGGCGCTTCAATTGAAAAATGCGATGGTTACCGGAGGGGGGGGGAACACAATCATCTTTCATACATGAGAGCTCAACCTCAACAACAGAAATCCGCCCCGCGTAAGCGCACTTCAGCCACGCACCCAGGGACAGTGAATGACCGTTCGGCCCCCCCACCCTGATCAGGGGCGCAACAAGTGTAAGTAGTGCAATATTTATGGTGCACTTTAGGCGAGACAATATATGTTGCGCACTCGGCGTGGTCCAATCCAAGTGGGTTCAAGTTACGTTATGCAACCTATGGTTTGCCACTTGCAAGTCGCAATTTATGAGGTGCAAATCATCTGGTGCAACCTTTGTGGTGCGACCGATGTTGTGCAATATGTGTGTTGTCATCTGTGCGGTGCAACCTTTGTTGTGCCATCTACCTACGTGTTTCAACGTGAGTGGTGCAAACTACGTGGTGCAAAACATGTGGTGCAATGTAGGTGGTAAATGCAATATATGTGGAACAGTCGATGTGGTACGATCAATGTGGTGCAAGCTGTGCGGTGCAATATATGTGGCGCAACGTGTGTGGTGAAGTGTATGTTGTGCAATCTGTGTGGCGCGATCTCTGTTGCACAAAAAACATAATGCAATGCGAGTGGTGCAATCCATGCGGTGCAGTCTGCGCGTCGAGTGTTATGCGAATTGGCGACGGGGCGGCGACGGCGGCAATATAGCCGCCAAACGGACGCGCAGTCCCAGACGTTGGGCGGCGACGAGGTGGCGTCGGGACGGCGGCGGCGGCAACATAGCCGACAGACCAACGCACAGGCCGAGCTCCTCAGAACGGAAGTAAGAACCGCTAAGTGCAAACGCTGCTCGGGGAATGGATCCCATCGCCCCCCTCCGACCCCTCGTCCAGGAGAGGAACAAGAAGACAAACGGGATTACCACAGTAATCCTGCGGTGCACCAGCGAGGTTGCAGCACGCCCTCCTGTCCAGGTCCCCCGCCCCAGATCCCCAACACACGCATTCCGTTGTCGTCAGTTCGGGGGGGCGTCCCCTTCGTAGGGCGAGCGCCCCTCTGACTTGCCATGCTGGCGAGGGCGGACCTCCAAACAGAGAGCCGCCCGCCATCGTTCTAGCTAGACTTTGGCGCCAACCTTCAGAGCGTGAACTACCTACCCCGCTTTCGCTTCCAGGCAGGACCAAGTCATACCACGCGCCTCCTCGTCAAGCGGCCTGACCAGTGCAGGCCGTAGTTTGGCATCGTTTGGTATCTCTTGGAAGCGAGGGTGGTCAAAAGCGAGGTAGGCTTGTTTGCCCCCTGAACGTACACGATCATCCACTCCTACGGGAGGTGTCCAGCGATAGGCCCCGGGGTGAGACTGAGCAGGCCCACACCTGCAATGGAGGATGACGATTCATAACTGACCGAAGGGTCGTGTTCACGCGGCGGCGCCCGGGATGACGATTAGAAAGAGCCGGCCGCGGGTTGGAGAACTATTCATCTTCATCGTTCGCCTCCAGGCAGAAAGTTATGCAGAAATCACAGAAAACTATGTTTTTAATCGTTCTCTCCCATTTCTTTATAAATCGTCATCCCGCATTATAGTTGTTCCGCACGTGTGCGTTGCTGGTGTTGAAGTTGGGGCCGCGGCCCCAATCTAGCTTCATGCGAAAAAAAAGCCTTGCCCGCGCAGCTCCTCGACGTCTGACCCGAGGCCCTCCTTTTGAGAACCCGTCGCCCACGAGCCTGTTGGACAGCTTCACGGCGAACGGGTCCGGGCCAGGACAGGCTCTATTTCCAGCGCGCAGGCGCCAACCGGCTCGTGTCCTGGAGGCCGACTCCAGGCCAGCAGGACTCGGCGCGACCAAGGGCGCCGTATGACTCCTGGATCTCTGGAGGGGTACAGTCGGACTGGGGCATGAGATCGAGTTCGGTTCGGGGAGGGTGCCGTAATGTGCTTCGTGTTTGTTGGGTGCTTTTGTGCATCCTGGGAAACATGGCACCCTTGGTGGTCTTCTTATTTGGGGTGTGTTGGCCATCGGAGGGTCTCATGTTCTTGAAGGATGTTATTCTGGCCGAGGCTTGACTGTAGTTGCACAGGGCACCTGAACAGTGGTGGCCAGTTACCTTTCGTCCTCCCCCCTCACTCTTTCCTTTCTGGAGTCAAGGGGATAGGGGGAGGAGGAGCAGGAGGAGAAGGAGGAGGAGCAGCAGCAGCAGCAGAAAAAGAAGGACTGTCGTAAGGAGACGAACTGAGCAAGGAGGAGGAGGCGGATGATGATGATGCTGATGATGTTGATGACGACGATGATGATGATGGTGATGTTGATGACGTTGATGACGATGATGATGATATTGATGATGTTGATGTTGATGACCATGAGGATGTTGATGATGATAATGATGATGATGATGATGATGATGATGATGATGATGATGATGATGATGATGATGATGATGATTATGATGATCCTGATGACCATGATGACCATGATGATGATGATGATGATGATGATGATGATGAAGATGATGATGCTGATGATGCTGTTAAGGAGGAGAAGGGGAAGGAGAAGGGGCAGGAGGACGAGGAGGATGAGGAGGGGGAGGGTGATGGCTTGGGACCTTCTGTTCCAGAGCGCTCCAGAATCTTCGGAGTCGTCCAGAGACCTGTCGGGAAGGGGGTGGGGGTAAGGAGGAGAAGACTTGGGGGGAAGTGGAAGGGTTTGAAGGTTTCTTCGTCTCTTCGTCCTGTTCCTCCTATGCGCAGCCAATCAACGCATAGTCATGCCAATGTGGTTACCCAGCGAGCCCCCCCTACTTCTCTCTGTTCGGCGCAACCTTGCCCAATTCGCTTGCCTGCGCCGAGAGGGGCCATTGCGGCGGATGGTATATCCGCGTTGTGTCATGGTCCCTTGGTATGCGTTGTGCGCAAGGGATGCGCGGGCGTATAGGGCACCCTCGCACCTTCGCTTTGTATTTCTTGGTGCGCCCGACACCAATTCGGCAAGGATGGCGCTCTGCAAGGATAGTCTTGCGTTCTTGAGTGTTCGGCCTAGCGCCGTCGAGCAGCTTATAACTATGACGCTGGATGGTCATACACTCATGCTAAACCCTCGCATGACGGATGTGTATTATAACTGTACGGTTTGCCCAGGCTTAGTCCTGAAGATCACTGCTCAATCCGAGCAAGCCTAACTAAGGGGGGAATTAAAACAGAGGGCGCAGCCATCTTGTCTGGTCATGAGTATCTTGCTGTGTTGCCGAGCGAGCCCGCTACCGCGCTTGGGCACGTGCCTGTGGAAGGGGCGGGGCTTGAGGATGGGGGCGGGGCGGGCAGGTGTGGTGGTGGTGGTGGTGGTGGTGTAAGAAAGGCAACCAGCTCTTGGCTCGACGCATTGGGGCCATTGGAATTTGCTCCGCAAGAGGCGGGCTCGGCACACAATAAGCAAATGCCTTGCACGCTAACCGTTGCAAGCGCGGTGACGGACCACGATGTGTAACAGATGCTGCCCCTTTCTCCTCGTCCTCGTTTTTTCTCGTCATCTGATCTCTCCGTCTGTTCCCCTCTCGGAGACTCGTGCTTCCCTGCTTTATGATAGCCTCGGGCGTAGGTGCGCATCACGACATGATGGAAGCGCAACGTACACACTATTGACCATCCTGCCCACCTTGCGTCATCCCCAGGAAGCTGACCGCGTGCGCGCTGGTCGCCAAGAACCTTTGGTGGCCTCAGAGGGAAGCGGTGTAACAGCAAAAGGGGGGATGACAGCATGAGGTGTGTTTTGAGGAGTGTCGGCATTTCGTCGTAGCAACAGCAGCATGTGGCAGCATAAGTTCCCACTGGGGGGGTTGTCCGCCAGTGGGACAACGCCAAGCGAGTGGGAAGCAAAAGTTCCCATGACGCAGCGAGCGCCCTGTCACAGTAAGGGCCCATGCCAAGAAGCACCCTGCTTGCCTCCAGGGTGCCCTGGGTTTCCTTGGGTTTCGATGGTTTCGCGATGCAGACCGTGACGTCCCCACACAGCAGATCGATGGACATCCTGGGGTCTCAGGGTTGGGATTATTGTGTCTTGTGGTCGGGCCGCTACTGAAAGCGCAACTACATCGCCCGGGAACTTGGAAAGAGAGCTCAACTTCCTGACAGTGGTCCAGAAGTCGAAGAAAAACAACAAACAAATACAAGTGTGTTTTCAGCGCTCCGCGCGGATTCCTTGGATCTGCGCTGGGCCCCCCTGGCGGCGCCTCCAGCGCCGCCCCTGGCGCGCTCCGCGCGACAGGCAAGGAGGCCTGGCGCAGATCCAAGAAATCCGCGCGGAGCGTCGACAGTTTATGTTTATGTGTGTGTGTGTGGGTGTGTGTGTGTGTGTGTGTGCGTGTGTGCGTGTGTGCGTGTGTGCGTGTGTGCGTGTGTGTGTGTGTGTGCGTGTGTGTGTGTGTGTGTGTCTTCCTCCTCTAAGAAGGGGCCCTGCGTCGAACAATCCCCACCACTTTGGCCAACCCTAGAGGACGCTAGCTGAGGCCTCCAGAGACGCAACGCTCTCCTCGGACCCCAGGGCCTGCCTGCAGACCTATGTAATCGCATTCGAATCGTCCACAAGCGAAGAAGGGCCTGATCCAGGCGGTCTCCTAATGGATTTGTTTTCCACCACCACCACCATCAAGTTGGAGGGGAGGGGGTCCTCCTCCTCCCCTCCTCCTCCTCCTCCTCCTCCTCCTCCTCCTCCTCCTCCTCGTCATCCACCTCCTTCTCCCCTCCAACTCATGGTGGTGGTGGTGGTGGAAAACAGGCCCATCAGTCTCCCATTCCTCGGCCGTGCGACGCCGAGCACGCCCCCAAAGTCGGCGCGCTGAAACGAAGGGGCCAGTCGGCCTGAAGCTTCCAGGGGCCTTAGCCAGCATGGCCCAAACACGCAGCACGCAGCTCGGCCGGGAAAGCTGGCAACGCCCCCCAAAGTTGGCGCGTCCTGCCCAAGGCAAGCACGGCTCCATCGCTGAGGTGGGAAACGCGGCAAATGTGGATGCCGTCCACCGACGCGGCCGTAGTGCGGCAATAGCTGCTGCTGCTGCTGCTGCTGCTGCTGCTGCTGCTGCTGCTGGGCTCCCTCAACGCAGGCGGGTCCAGTCAAGGGAGGGCCTCGAGCACCTCCTGCCTGGCAACTCTGTCGGGAGGCCTGGACTCCAGGTGCGTGGTGCCCCTCAGCTTTGATGACGTAATGGCTTTAGACTTCCGAGGGATGAGTGGATCCGAGAGCAGGACTCATTCTGAGCTGAGGCGGGTCTTTGGAAAACCAGTGAGCCTTTTTGCTCCACCCTGCCAGTGCCATCCAAGGCCAACTGCCTCCAGGAAGCCCTAGACCCCCTACGGGCAAGCGCAGTAGCCTCTCCCAGAGACACTTCGACATCCTCGAGCAGCCGGACCAACGAGGCCCTCCAATCTTCCAGAGAGAGACTGTCTTCGCAGGATATGTAGAGTTTGCCTGCTCATGAACGTGCCCCCAAGAGCCCAACTGATCCGGTATGCTCAGGGACTGGACAGCGCGATGCGCCGCAGAGCCTCGTGTGAGAAGGCGGTCGACCAGCGCCTTCAGCTGGACCGCGGAGAGACATAGCAGCATGCTGAGCCGACGGCGGTGCCAGCTTGGAGTCGATCGCGAGGGGGGCGTGCCACTCGCACCTGGGCCTGGGGCCCCTCGAGCCGACCACGTGCAAGGACGGCAGGGTGACGCTACAAAGCTCAATCTCACTCGGATTTTCGTCCAAGCCACAGAGCGCACCCTCATTATGCCAACCAACTCCAAAGTGTGCCTTCAAGGCAGCGTCCCGACAAGGAGGCTCCACCGACGGCCCCCACGGCAGGTTCTACCGGCAGCTGGGGCGGCTTACGAACACGAAGCGCGAGGGAAGAAAGAGGAGGAGTCGGAGGTGGACAGACACCCTACCCTGACACGTCGATTGAGGAATTGGCCGTTTTCGGTTCGCGAGAGGGCGTCGCGGCCGTCACTTTCGCGGGTCCAGGTCCGTCGCTTTCGGTCCCAGGCCGTTTTCACTAAGGGGAGGTTTACGAAAGGGAGGTTTGGCCACCGCCGAAGGAGGGGGGGGGGGGAGATGAGGAGGGAGGTTTACCAGATTCACCGCCACCGCGAGAGCGACAGCAACCCCACGGGAGAAGCCCAATCCTTCGGACACCCACCGTTGCAGAGGTTCTGTTGCATCTTCGGGGGACCTCGCCTCTCCCAAACATTGGTGTCTTTTTGGGGGCCCGACGCGCGCTCGACGCGGACTCGCCGCGGATGTGGCGCGGATTCGACGCGGATTCGACACGGATCCGACGCGCCTGACATGGCTTCGACACGGATTCGACGCGGACAGGGCCGCGACGGGACAGGCAAGGTCCCCCGAGGATGCAACACACCAGAGGCAGGAGGGCAGCAGAGGAGCCCCGGAGAGACGCCCTCCGCCCTCGGCCCCCTCGGGGGGGGGGGCGCCCGAGGCGGCGCACGCGTCCCTGCCGGCCGAGCCCTCGACGCCGGGGCGCGGCGGCGGCGCAGGCGGCCGCGCGGATCGGCCCCCACCGGCTGCGCATGAGATCCATCAGGAGGGAAAAAACACACAGACACAATTAATCGTCGATTCCAAAGAAAATATGGGAAGATGTGGGAATTGGGGGGGAGGACAAAAACCCAGAAAATATGGGGAAATATGGGGAACCTTTTTATGTGTGTATTTAATTGTGCGTCTCAGGGCCCCTTCAATCCAGGCCGTCCAGGTGGGGTCGGTTCAGCCACGCGCAGAGGGGGGTGGGGGGAGGCGGGAGGGCTTCTCAGAAGCACCCCCGCTTCTCGGAAGGCGCGGGGCGTCTCTATAAGTACATGTGAGGCCGGCGCCTTCCAAGAAGCGGCCTTCTTCTAATTAAGAAGCCCCCGCCCCCCTCCCTCCACCCCCCGTGTGCGCGCCGCCGATTCCACGCCCTCGCGGTCTGGATCCCGGGGCACGATGCCGTGGACGCGCGAGCGGGGCATCCGCGAAGGAGCGCCCCGCATCCACGGGGGCGCGGCCCAGAGGCCCTTGCCGCGAGGCCACGGATTCGGATACACACACTGTTCGTTTCTAATTCTTCGAAAGGTCCTCGATTTTTTTTTTTGGGGGGGGGCGAGATGCTTTCATGTCTGATGTTTCTATCCTGGGCCTCTTCCTGGCCACTAGGGGGCCAGGAACAAATAGAAACGAGCACAGTTAGAAATGAGCACGATGAGAAATGAGTGACGTGTACGTTCCGCCCACGAGTTGAGATGGGAGGGGTCGGCGGATCGCGCCGCATCGGCCAACGCATCGGCGACGCGGCTCGGCGTGGAGCCTGATTTTTTCTTCGCTAACGTTACGGGGAGGGCATGTCCCTCTACAGGAGGAGTATTCAAAAACGGTTAAAAAATAGTCCGGGGACTACGCTCTTCTTCGCGTTTTTCCACTATTTTCGAATATGTGCTGATTCTGCTTATCATTTGTCGTCCAAAATCCGCCTGTAGGAGGGCATGCCCGATTGAACGCTAGCGTCGCCGATGCATCGGCGATGCGGCGCGATCCGCCGACCCCGGCCCCACGCTGGCGGCCTTCATACACATGGCCCTTCGCCGGAGTGACCTCCGGGCGTGGGCCCAGAGTCCGGGGGCAACTATAGAGGGGGGGATAGGCATAAGGGGGGATGCATCGACCCCCAATCGCCCATCGATCGCCGATAGGGGCCCGATAACCCCAACCCGCCCCGGGAGGTGCGGATTCGCTATCGGGGGCCTACCGGCGATTTGTCGGCGATGTATCGCCGATTCCAGGTCGATGCGTCCCCCCTTATGCCTATCCCCCCCCTATCATTGCCCTCAAAGAGGGGTCCCCCGAGCACTGGCTGGCGCGTTTGGATTTCTCCCCCCCCCCCCCCCCCACTCTCTTACCCCCCCTCGCCCCCACGTCCCCCTGAAGCCACGCACCCAAGGTCACTTTTACCCAGGGGCGCTCTTGCGCGCAGGCGATCCCATAGAGGGCTCCTTTCGGAGGATCCGCGAATCTGCGCGGGATGTGGAGTCAGAGGAGGCGGGGGAGGAGGAAACGGAGGACGAGACTGAATGTCCAAGTGCGAACTTGCGGGTCCCTGGTTGGGGCTTTTCGGGGCCTATCCTGGGCCTCCTGGGGTGCTGTCGTCGCCACGGCTGGGTTCTCTCCGACGCTCTTGTGCACGGGCACCCCCAGGGCCGGTCCGGGGCCCGACACGCTTGACTCACAGCCAGGGCTTGTTTCCCGAGAGCGTCGCGCCGCCTGCCCTTGCCCTCCACGCTCTGGCGCGACACGCGAAGCCTGTCCCAGCCCCGAGGCATCAGCATTGAGTGCAGTGGGGGTGAATGCCGAGAAGCACCCTGCTTGCCTCCAGGGTGCCCTGGGTTTCGTGGGTCTCGATGGTTGTGCGACGGAAAGCGCGACGTTCCCACACCAAAAATCGATGGACGTCCTGGGATCTCAGGGTTGGGTTTCTTGTGGAAGGTTTCTTGTGGTCGGGCCCCCACTGTACGTCCCGAGTCTCCCACGCAACGATGCAGAGCGACGCGCCATCAGCAAGGCACAGCATGTCGCAGGGGCAGCCGCAGGCGGCACAAGCACAAGCTGCAGGCCGTAAGGGGAGGGCGTTGTTCTTAAATCTCGCTGCGAGGACTCCCGTCGCCGCAGCACGGCTGCTTTTTTTCTCGAGCAGGCCAAGGCTGTGCTCCAGCGGGACCGCCGTGCTGGCTGGGTACGTTCGACGAGGAGCGGGATGATGATGATGGTGATGGTGATGATGATGATGATGGTGATGATGATGAAGATGATGGTATAGATGATAATGAAGAAGATGATGTGGATGATAGTGATGACGATGAGGATGATGAGGATGATGGACATGCGGATGATGATGAGGATGCTGCTGAGGCTGAGGCTGAAGATGAGGATGATAATGAGGAGGATGATGAGGATGAGGATGATGATAGTGATGCTGCTGATGTTGATGATGGTGATGATGCTGATGACGTGGATGAGGACGAGCGGTGGAGGAAAAGGATAAGGATGATGAGGGTGATGTTGTTGATGCAAATTACGACAATCCTGACGATGGGGTTGATGATGATGTTGGTGGTGATGATGTTGATGGTGATGGTGATGGCGATGATGGTAATGATGCTGATGATGTTGATGATGATGATGATGATCTAGATGATGTTATTGACGATGATGACGGTTATGATGGTACTGATGATGCTAATAATGATTCCGATGATGATGGTGGTGATGATGATAATGGTGATGAGTATGATGATGATGATGATGATGACGGTGGAAATGATAATGATGATGAGGATGATGATGCCGATGCTGCTGATGATGATGAGGAGGATGCTGATGCTGCTGCTGCTGCTGCTGCTGATGATGATGATGATGATGATGATGATGATGATGATGATGGCGGTGAGGATGATGGTGGTGGTACTTGTGATAGAGATTGTGGTTTTGATGATGATGCTGATGATGGTGATGATGATGGGGAGGAGGAGGAGGAGGAGGAGGAGGAGGAGGAGGAGTAGGAGGAGGAGGAGGACGAGGAGGAGGAGGAGGGGGAGGAGGCGGACCTTCAGATCTAGGTGTTGCAGCCACAGTCGTGCGGGCTGGTCTTTCATCGCTTCTTAGGCCTCGGCGGGGCCTGGCTCTTGGGCCTAGGACTGTCAACATCTTGAGGACGAAAAGCTGGCCCCGGAGATAGGCGTTGTGAGACATTCGCGAGTTCGAAGCTCCGGGAAGGAGGTGGGGAGGAATCTCACCAGCGTGATGCATGCTTGGTCGATCCACGCGTCAAACAGGAATCATTGCTCAATGTGGGGGCGTTGCAGCTCAGGGCCCTCGCCCACACAAGTGCTCTTCTAGGCTGATTTTCTGCGCAATACCACCAGGCGGGCACAAGCCAACGCAGGCGAGGCCCCTGCTTTGACGGGCGCGGACGAGGAGGGAAAGCGGAGCAGGGCAAGGAGGAGGAGGAGGAGGAGGAGGAGGAGGAGGATTTCCGGATTTCCGCAATCACAAGAGTGACTTAAAGGTTGAGCTCAGGCTTTGGGAAACTCACCGCGAGGACAGGCAGGGAGAGGAGGACAATGAGGAGGAGGAGGAGGAGGAGGAGGAGGAGGAGGAGGAGGAGGAGGAGGAGGTGGAGGAGGCAAGGGAGGAGGAAGAACGTGAAGGGAGAAGGAGGAGGGCGGGCAGCAGGAGGAGGGAGCAGGCCGAGGAGGAGGGAGGAGGGCCACGAGGACGAGGAGGAGCACGGAGAAGGGCCCGCTGCACCGGGATGCCCGCTGGCCCTCGCGGAGAGCGTCGGCGCCGCGGGCCCTCCGGCCCCCCCCTTGGAGGAGGGGAGGGCCGGGCCCTGCGCGCCCGACGCGCAACGGCGACGCGCCGTGGACCGCGCGGAGCGACCTTCGAGGATCGACCCTCGAGGATCGAACCTCGAGGATCGACAATCGAGGCGGGACGGCCTCGAGGATCGACCCCTCGGGGATCGAGCCTCCGGGGCCCGAGGCTGTCGCGGAAGCCCTTCGCGCCCTGGCCGCTGCAGGGGGGGGCGCCTCGTCGCCTCGGCTGGGCCCGCCTCCTCGACACTCGGCGGGCCCAAGCGCACCCCGAGGATGGCTCCGGGGGGGGGGGGGGCCTCTTGCCCCGACCTTCCAGGTGGGCGAAAACATATAGCACCAGGATCTCGGCATCTATATTCCTGCTGGGATGTTAGCAGGCAGCCCAGGTCGGTCTACAGATCAGGGTCTGCATGAGGGGGAGGGCCCGTACCTGTTGGGCTCGCGCCAGAAGTCACGACGGACCATATTTCGCCACTCTCGGCCTCGCGGGGCCCTTGCCAGGGGCCCCTCATCCCAGGCAGGTTGGCTCAAGTCCTGCCCCGCCGTGGCGTCGAGCGCCTCCCCGAGACGCCCCTCACCCTGAGATCCGACGCCGCGGCGATGCAGCATCGACAGACGTCACGACCGAAGCCCCGGACCCCATTTTTCTGCGGCGTTCCTCGAGCCATCCACGGAAGCGCACGGAGGCCCAGGCCTGGCCCGCGTCCGGGCGAACGCGCCCCCGGGGCGCAAGAGCTGCGACGCCACGGCTTCGGGGCAGGAAGACGCCCCCGAGACGAGTGCGCCGACCCCTCGGGGGCCGCAGCTTACCAGCCTCGAACGTATCCCTATCCCTAAGATTGACACGCCAAAAGGCGATGGCAATCTTAGGGATTTGCCCTCAAAATATAAGGGAATCCCTAAGATTGGCATCGTGATGAGGAGGTGCCCAGCACAGGGATAGGGATATGTTCCAGGCTGGTAAGCAGCGCTCTCCGAGGCCTCGCCACCCGTGCCCTCGGCCCCGCCCCCAAGGGAAGGCCCCGCCCGGCGGCGCCTCCAGAGGCTTCCGCCATGAGAGCCTGCACGGAGCCGGCGAGGGGCCTCCTGGGGGCGCCGCTGGCCTCGCGAGGGCCACTGAGAGCCTGCCGAGAGCCGCCCGGGGCATCCGAGAGGCCTCGAGGGCCTCTCGGCTCTTTCCCCCCCCCCCCCCCCGCCCTGCCGGCCCGCTCGCGCGCGCGCAGGCACGCCGCCCTGCTCGCCGCTGGTCGCCAGGAGCCCTCTGCTGGGCAGCGGCGTGAGCGTGAGCGTGCCGCCGCTGCTCGCCGGGAGCCCTCTGCCGAGCGGCAGCGGCGTGAGCGTGAGCGTGCAGGCGGCCGGGCGCAGCCGCGCGGGGCGGTCGAGGGGGGGAGTTCGATGCTGGCCGGCGGGGGTCCGCGAAGCACGACGAGCCGACGCTCGTCGCGAGGAGGAGGAGGAGGAGGAGGAGGAATGGAGGAATGGAGGAATGGAGGAACGGAGGAATGGAGGAACGGAGGAATGGAGGAATGGAGGAGGAGGAATGGAGGAATGGAGGAGCAGCAGGAGGAGGAGGAGGAGGAAGAATAAGAAAACGATACATACTACTACTACTACTACGACGACGACGACGACGACGACGACGACGACGACGACGACGACGACGACGACGACGACTACTACTACTACTGCTACTACTAATAATAATAGTGATGGTAATACGGATAATATGTTTTTTTATCTTTTAAAATAATCATCATCATCGTCATCATCATCATCATCATCATCATCATCGTCAGCAGCAGCAGCAGCATCATCATCACCAGAAAATAAAACGAATAATAAGAAGAAGAGGACGAGGAGGAGGACGAGGAGGAGGAGGGGAAGGAGGAAGAGGGGGAGGAGGGGGAGTTGGACGGGGAGGAGGAGGAGGGGGAGCAGGACGGGGAGGGAGCAGGAAGAGGAGGAGGAGGAGGACGACGACGAAGACTGGCAGCAGCGCATGTCCATTTTGGACAGGGCTCGCTGTCGACATCGCTGCGGACGTTGCCCACTTGAGGCAGCAAGTTGCCCGCCCAGCAGCGCCCGCTGCTGGTTTTGGGCAGCATGTGCTGTTGGGCATCGCAAGCACACGCAGTCTCCGCATCCGTATATCGGGCGTGCCAGTACGCGCCATCGTGGGAGGGAAATGATTGGGGATATATGTGTGTGTGAATAATTATTGAGCTATCACGAGTGAAGACGATCATGGCCGATCCCCCCAGCCAGTGCAAGTTTTGTTTTTCGGTCGAAATGCCCCCCCCCCCGAGGTTTTTTTTTGGGGGGGCGAGCAGGGAAGGTCTTCAGCTTCAGACTGCGCCAAACGGCGCCCCCCGCCCCCGGACTTCAGCAACAGCGGCTCCCGCCCAAGACCTCCCGACCACGAACTCGGCACCGCGCTCCTGCTCGAGGCTCCCTGCGCTCCCGCTCGGGGCTTCCCTGCAGCGTACCCTGGCGCGGCGCCCTCGACGTGGAGGAGGAGGAGGAGGAGGAGGAGGAGGCGGAGGAGGATCGCGCAAGACTTCCCTCGCGCGCTGACCAGGAGATGACGCTCTCGCCCGAGGCCTCAACACAAGTTCCGAATTTCGTGTCAGTGCCGGGCCCGGCAGGGGCGCCCGTTCGGGCCCGATCCGCCTGTTCAGTTCCGCCCGCTTGCCTGCTCGAAGTCCCGCCCGTCCGCTTCAGCACCCCGCCCGACCCGCCCGTTAGGGTCCGCTCGCCCGACCCGCTCGCCCGTTCGGTTCCGCCCGTCCGCTCCGTTGGAAGAACGCCCGCTCGTTTTCAATCCCAGGCCGCCCGACCCGCCCGCAGGGTCCGCCCGCTCGGCTTTGCCTGTGGGGCTCGCGCGCCTGACCCGCCCGTCCGGGTCCGCCAACCAATCCTCCTGCTTCTCTTTCCCCCCCTCCTTGATTTTTTGTTCGTCCTCAATGCTCCTATCTCCTTCTCCCCTCTCGTTTCTTCCTCCCTTGGCAGGTAATCCAGAGAGACCCTCGCAACAGGGGAGACGACCGAAGACGAAGAGAGGGAGGGGTCTCGAGGGTTTGGGGACATGCATGTGGACTGGCACGAGAGCAGTGGAGAGAAAGCAGTCTTGCAATTCTGGTCCCGCTGTGAATTTCTCGGCCTCGGAATTACAGTCGGGGCCCTGAAGAAGGAACCCTTTTGGTTGGGGAGGGGCTCCGCGTTCCTCAAGTGTTTCGCAGCTCGCCTCAGGTTTGCCTTATGTTTTTGATCGGAAATCGAAGTCTAACTTATGGAAAAAAAGGGCCTCATTCCTTCTTTTTGGGTTCCTTAGGTCAAGGCCCCGACTGTATTCTTCTTGGGCCCCCACCGGTCCGCCTCCGCGCTCTCGCTCCGGTGCCAGCTGCACCTCCTTCGAGACCGAGCCTCGCGCCCGAGGCTTCCGGGGCTGCGCCCCCAAATCGGCCCCCCCACCCCAACCAACAACAGCGATCCGACAGTTTGGCATCGCTCGGACGTGTGCATTTCTTCCTTCGGCGAGGACCATCGAGGAGCATCCTCGATCCTCTGGCAAAAAAAAAACACGCACGGAACCGACAAAAAAACACAGGGAATGGACGTCCGAGCGGTGGCCAGACAGCGGTCTCGCGCGAGATTTCTCATGTGTAGGCCGGCGCTCGTGCTCGCCGCCGGAAGCTGGCCCCGCAGCAAGAGAGCAGCGCTCCCGCGGAAGACCTCCGTGCTGTGTACTCGGGACGCTGGCGCTCGCGCCGCGGCCCCGCCAACACACTGCCCACTCGCTGCGTCCTTCTCGGTCTGCTCCTCGCGGCTGGCGCGCTCGCTCGTCGCGGAGAGCCGGCCCTCCTTCAACATGAGCGCTCCCGTTCGAGTTTTTTGATTCGGCTGCTCATTCAGGAGAGGCGCTCCCCTGCTCGTCACCAGGAGCGAGCAGGGGGGGGAAGAGGAGGAAAAGGAGGAAGAGGGGGAGAAGGGGGAGGAGGAGTAGGAGAAGGAAGAGGAGGAGGAGGATGGAGGGGGAGGGGGAGCGCTCCCGATCGAGACCGCCTCGCGCGTTGTGAATCGGGATTGGTGCGCGCACGCCTGCGCGCCGCAAGCCAGCCACCCAACAACAACAAGGACAACAACAATCATTGTACCCTCATGCGCAATGTTTCCACACGAAGCATGCGACCATCATGATAACCATCCACATCATGGGGGACTTTGGTTCTATAGCGGGGTCCGTTATTCCCAGTCCCAGATCTCCCGCCCAATGAGATCTTGCAAACATCTCCTCCGAGGAAGTTCAAAATATCCCGCCTCGAAAACACATGCCCGCGCCTTACTGCGCCGATGCGAGACCGCCAGTGGAACCCCAGCAAAGGGTAAAGCACAAGGAAGTATCGAACGACAGGATTGCTTTGGCGGGGAAAAGGGCTGTCGGCGGTGAGGCAAGGACCTGTCCCTGAATAGAAAGGGAGGAAGTCTCGAGCAGGGCTGCTCGGGCGCTAGTCCAGCGTAAAACAAAACGAAGTCTCGAGCGGGAACGGTGGTTTTGTTGGGACGGCGGCTTTCGGCGGCGAGGAGGAACACCGCCTTGAGTAAGAAGGGGGGGGAGCATCGAGCGGGAGCCGTGATTTTGTCGGGACGGGGGCTGTCGGCGGCGAGGAGCAGCACCGTCCCGAGGGAAAAATGAGGAAATCTCGAACGTGTGCGTTGTTCCTGCTGGGAGCGGCGCCAATTCAAAAGAGAGTACGGCGCCAGTCCAGCGTAAAAGGGAAGGACGTCTCGGGCGGGAGCGCTGGTCTTGTCGGGGCGGCGGTTTTCGGCGGCGAGGAGGAACACCGCCTGGGGTAAGAAGGGAGGAAGCCTCGAGCGGGAGCCGTGGTTTTGTCGGGACGGGGGTTGTCGCCGGCGAGGAACAGCACAGTTTTTTTTTGGAAAAGGGGGGAACCATCGAGCGGGAGCGTTGTTCTTGCTGGGACGGCGCCAACTCAACAGAGAGTACGGCGCCAGTCCAGCGCAAACGGAAAGAAGTCTCGGGCGGGAGCTCTGGTCTTGTCGGGGCGGCGGCTTTCGGCAGCGAGGAGGAGCACCGCCTTGAGTAAAAAAGGAGACTCGAGCGAGAGCGTTGGTTTTTGCTGGGGGCGGCGCCGATGAGAGAAAGACAAGCACGCCAGTCCAAGGTAAACGGGAGAAAGTCTGGAGCGGGAGCGCTGGTTTTATTAGGACGGCGGCTTTCGGCGGCGAGCAAGAACACCAACCCTGAGTAAAAAGGAGGACATCTCGAGCGGGAGCGTTGTTGTTGTTGTTGGGGGGCCGGTCTTGGCGGTCCCCCAAACCGCTCGAGCATGAGCCTCATTTTCAATGAAAATGTAGCTGGCGCATCGGCGAGAGCGCCAGGGCGCTTATAAGGAGTCCAACAATAATATTTGTCAGTAGTTTACATTCAACAACAGCAGCAACAGCAACAACAGCAACAGCAACAACTATTACTACAACAACAATGCCAATAACAACAACATCAACAACAGCAACAGCAACATCACCAACAACAACAACAACAATCATGTTAAGACTGTTCGCCCTTATCTGCTCGAATGGCCAATAACGCGTATTTCCCAAAACCTCGATACCCGCCCTTGTCGTTTTCGATCGAACCCCTTCTGGGTGGTATACATTTGTTCCCTGCAGGCCGGGCCCCAGCAAGCGGCGGAGCGGCCGCGGACCGTCGGCCTGGCCAGCGGCAGCGCTGATCGGCGGGGCGGCCGCGGACCGTCGACCCGACCCCAAGAGGGACGAAGGGACCGACCACGACGACGACGACGTCGACGACGACGGCGACGACGACGACGACGACGGCGACGACAAGCGAAAGCGAGAGCGAGAGAGAACGACAGCAGGTCCACGAAGGACACGAAGTAGTCCACGAAGGGCGACATCGGGGACATGAAGGGAATGCGTATGGGGCCACGAAGAGCGCGAACGAGGCGGGGGCCACGAAGGGCAGATAATGCGGGGCCACAGCAGGCAACGATGGGGCCACTGAGGGTAGCAACTGGGCCACGTAGGACAGCGACGGGGCCACAAACGGCGACAGCGGGGCCACAAAGGGCATGCACATGGGGCCACAACGGGCGCGACCCCTGGGTGCCTGGGTGTCGGGAGCGCGGCCCTTGAGCAAATTACAATAAATTCCAACGCAAGGGCGCTAGTCTTCAGTAAATAGCAAGGTCTCCAGCGAGAGCCCGACTCTTGAGCGCTGGGAGAGCGATTCCTGAAT